CTGGAAGCTAGTAGTACGACTTGCTGAGATCGGGGAGATAGCCAAGGCAATCATAATTTGCCGCGTCGTCGCGCGGAGCATCGTGCGGTGGTGCGAAACCTATTTGAAGTCGGGTGGAGGCAATTCCAGGTCGGGTGAAATGATCTCTGTCGTCAGTTCAATATTCAGTTCAGATAACAAGACAACTCGTCTCTCACGTGTGCGCCGTTGCTCGCCTTGCCCAATGGCGCATTATTTATTGTTTATATACACCCAAGGGTGCGCCACTCAGCTTGAAAAAAGACAGAAACATACTCAATTAGGGGATGGCACTATAAAAAGAAAAAAATAAACAAAGACAACAAACACGAACAACTTTACGATTACGTTACGATTGTTCCATCACCTTTTTCAGAGAGTATTGGTAAACCATCCGCGATATAGAATCGAATCCCTTTTAGAGCTGCCAAACTTTTCCCCCAGGTTCCACGATGGCGATAAACAGCCATCTTCCTTCGCCATTCAAGTACAAAATCATTCATTCCAAAAATCTGACTTCATCTGTATCCTTATCATCCAGTTTTTCAACAAAACCTGCTGGATGGCGGGGCGGCAGGGGGAGGAGGGGCAGGACGAGTGAACTGTAAAAACTTCTTTTCCATACTGACATTTTGAATCCTGTCGCATTAAAGGCAAATTATACACTCACCTCCGTGGATAGTTGTCCTCGCTATGTGTGAGGTGAACAGGTCCGCAGCTGCAGTAGCATGTTTCTTTCTCCGCTCAGAACTGCACTTGGACAGGGCTGGAGGGGAATATTACCCGGATGCCGTCTCCATACTACGCAAGCGCTATCCTCAAGCAGCATCACTTACGTCGATACCAAAATCTCGCAGCGAACATGCAGTCAGAGGTACAAGCAATGAGAGTGTACCGCAAGTACCGCATTTGGCTATGGTTAGGTGTCTGGGTGGGCGTGCACGGGCAGCTCCCGTGCAATTTCAAACTGAGAAAGTGGCACGCTACTGCAGCGGCAGTACCTTGAACAGTAATTTTATTACCAATCACATCAAGCAGGAGAACTCGTGGGCTCGATCCGTGACTCACATACTTCCAGCCTACTCTTGCCTTATTTATACGAGCTACGAGTTACATGGTTGGCCACCGGTTCCTGGCTTTCGATGAAGCGACGGCGGCTCTCTCAACTACACTCGGAGGAGATGTGGGTCCGGAGGAGAGAGAGAGAGAGAGAGAGAGAGAGAGAGAGAGAGAGAGAGAGAGAGAGAGAGAGAGAGAGAGAGAGAGAGAGAGAGAGAGAGAGAAGAGAGAGAGAGAGAGAGAGAGAGAGAGAGAGAGAGAGAGAGAGAGAGAGAGAGAGAGAGAGAGAGAGAGAGAGAGAGAGAGAGAGAGAGAGAGGGCCTATTCTTGGTGGGGATTCTCCCCAGCGTCGAATGTGGTGAAGTCTGTACGACCCTTTTTTGCGGGAGGGTGGGGGGGGTCGGTACGCCCGCTCTCCCCAAAAAATATATATGAAAAGTCAGCCACCGCTCCTAAACGCCAAAACGTAAATTCGACCCCACCCCCCTTGCAACGTTCGTGAAGCGAGCAAAATCAACTATGCAAAAAAAGTTTTTCCAGACCAAATACGGACCCATCTGGTCTTGGCGGCGAAATTATACTCCCCCCCCCGTACTACTGGGCTTTCCCAGCAAACGATGTGCCCTGGGGAGTATCCGTAATAATGGAGAAAGCGTCGGTAACAAGATGTGGTACGCGTTGCCGCGAAAACACAAATTACGCGTAGAGTATTACAGATGTTTACGAGTTCTTTGTCAAATTTCGTATAATTCCAGCACTTTTCACCTTTCAATGTCCAAGTTCAGTTGTGAAGACTTCTCAACGTAATTTGTTCGATTGGTTTCTTAGGGTAACAAAAATGTCGGACGACGAGGAGCGCGACTATTCCCATCTTCAGTCTGAAAGAAATCGGAAACAGAAAAAGGCCGGAGGATGGCAGGCTATGGGTTTGTAGAGAACTTGGTTTGTTTTGTGATTATTTGTCATTTTTCTGCTTCAGGCTTAGACCATACGGTTTTCAAAGGGATAGAGAAGAAAGGATTTAAGCAGCCAACTCCTATTCAGGTATATATTTGTTAACTAGGTAGTTACAGTGAGATCTGCTTCGGTGATTGACATTATTCCAGCGAAAGACCATTCCTTGTATTCTTGATGGCAAAGATGTCGTGGCCATGTCTCGTACAGGTGCGATGCTTTTCACCTTTTGCAGTGTTTGACAGGGCACGTCGTACGCTAGGGGATACCCATTGAAAAGTTGTTTTTTTATGGATTTTGGAAGGGTAGGGGTGGGGTCACTAGTATAAAACTTATTTTACGCTTGTCGAATTTTCATGGTTTTCCGTTTTGCTGCGCTAACTCCCCCTCCATCGCTCCATGGCGGCTTTTTGGTAGAGAAGAGTTGAGAAAAATTGGAAGGATGGGAGGTTGGTTGGGGGGTCTCCAAAGGTTAGACCCATCGATGGTTTGCTGTTTGAGTCTGGGCACGTCCTGCTACTGGGGGAAATCTTTGCACTGTAACACCTCCTCTCAAAACTTCCTCCTCTGGCATGACCCCCTTTCACATCCTCCATCCCACCTACCATCTTCTAATTTTCTCAACTTCCTGTACTTTATGGAACTCCTCTCGCTGGAGATCGCCAACATACGACCTGCCCT